TGATGATGATGACCTTCTCTTTATGTATCCCTCTCTTTATCCCATCTTTCCATTTCCCTCGTTATTTGTTTGGGGGGGGGGGGTCTGTTTTTTTTGTTTTTTTTTACTTTCCTTCCAAGTATACCAACATTGTAAGTTTAGTTATTAGCATTATTCATCTCCTTGAAATAAAAAAATAGTTATTTCAGTAAACGAGGGTTCAAAAGGTAAAACAAAATTCAATTTAATTCAATTCAAAGTTTATTCAACACTCTTTATAAAACATTTAAAACATATAAATACAGAAAGGAATGATAAAAAACAAGACAGTGAAAATAATAACAATGGCAATTTATATTGAAAAAGCATTTGGTATAGGCAGAAAGGAGGGATTATTTATATGGAAGCCTATCCCTAAAACACACACATACAGGAAAAAAAGAAACAAGATCAAAAGAACAAAAAAAAAACATACGAAAACATACGAAAAGGGAAGCAATGCAAAAGGAAAGTTGGGTTGCACATGATTATAAATCCTTCTTTATTTCAGAATGACCTTCAGCCAAATGGAACTCAAAGAGAATTTAAGATGTCGGGAGGAGTATAAACCATTTCCGGCTGAACCGAATCGGCCTTGGTCCCACTTATAGAGATAAATGATGTAAATTGAGGAGAAGACACGATCTTGCTTAAAATGTGGGTTACGGGAGTGCAGAAAGGAGAAGAATGTTACCCGTCGAATTTGTGAGGGAGATTTATTCCGAAAAAATGGATACGTACGAGGCAGGGCTAGGGAACTGGTTGTATTGTTTGTTTGTTTATCCCATTTTTTGAATATTATCTTTTAGATTATCCTTTTAAAAGCTATTATAGTAATATTATCATTGAAATTTTATTCATATATGTATACTTGTTTTGTTATGGCTACATCACCACGAGTTTTGTGCGTTTAGGGAATTTCGCCGTCTACTCAAATAGTACTTATAATGTTTCATGATAATTTATTTTGATTATAAGTGGGAATTTAAATCTGTATCAACTGCATTAACAAAATACTAAATAGAAACCCCATAACTACATGTCGGGGGGGGGGGGGTTCCACCCCTGATTAATTTCCGACCACGTCATCATAGGTTAGTGAGGAATCTATAGTATTGTGAGCTTAAATGAAACTTTACCCCAAGAAAAACTAGATAATTATTCTATTTTTGCCCATTAATCTACAAGATTCCCCACCAAAGTGTATGAGAGATGCATAAAGCAAGAATAATGTACAGTTTCTTAGCACGACATGGACATCGCCATTTTCTTGATAACGTGACGAAGCTCAGTTGGTAGAGCAGTGGTCTCGTTATCTGGTAACCCGGGTTCGAAACCAAGCCGATGCGCTAGTGCCCTTTGGTAAGGCATTAATCCTCATACCAGGTCCCTCGGAGAGGACCTTAAGCCGTCTTCTGGCTGTTTACTAACAAGCATTTATTGCTTTCTTAGCTGTCAGGTGAAATAACCACCACTATCACCAAGGCCTACTATGTGAAGTCGTTTATGAAGTAAATGTATTAAAATGCATTGATGCTTCCTTCCAGGACGTGTATGGTGATAAAGCTTTACATTCACCTGCTATTATCCCCTGTACTAAAACTGTCAAAACGCAAATGCATAAGTTGGTGCTTTTCTGGGGCGAAGGTTTTTCATAAATGAAATAGATTGTCAACTGCTAAATGTTAGTATTTTTATGAGTTACAATATTGTTCCCCTGTAATACATTTTCGCTAATTATAATGTATACCTTCTCAGCTCTGATTTTCCCTGATTGAAAAGTAAAGGATTTGTTATTGATTTAAAAAGTTTTTCCAACTAAAGCTTAGTGCATAACAAATGGCATGTACAACTTCGCCTGGTACGTCTCATTTACAAGAAAATGGCTGCGCTCATGTCATGCTAAAAGGCATTACATTATCCCAAGAATACCTTCATTTATATATCTCTTGTACCCTTTCGTAAGAAATATTGTACAGTACAAAAAAGGGCAGTCGTGGTTGTGTAGATATGTCATCGGACTGGGGATCACAAAGTCCGCGGTTCAAGTGCCGCTGCGGCACTAATGTCCTTTGGTAAGACATTGTTCTACATTTGCCACTCTCCACCCAGGTGATAAATGTGTACCCAGTAGTTATGAGTCGTTATGGAAAAAAAAATGAAAATGATAGATAGAGGTCTTTGTGAATAGGTACTTAAGATGAAAAAGAAAAAGAAGTGAAAACAATTTCGAAAAAGAGAAGAATGTAAAAATAGATTTGCATGGCAATTATCATAATATTAGGAACGGGTAAGTTAGAGAGAGGGATGGGAATACAGCGATAGGATAAGAGAGATGGAGGAGGGAAACTAGGAGGAAACATGAGGTAGAAAAAGGATATGTATAGGTAGACAGAGAATGAGGGAGGGAAAGTGCGGGGAGGGGTTGTAAAGAGAGGAGAAATGATGAGGAAAGAGGCACAGAGATGGCGGGATAGGAAAAGGTAAAGAGAACGGAAATTGGAATGTACAGAGTGGGGAAGAGAAAAAGAGATAGAGGGGAGGAGATAGATAAATTAAGAGGGACAGAGAGAGAGAGAAAATGCAAGAGATACAGAAAGAGATAGAGAGAGAGAGAGTACGTGTGCGTGTGTGTGTGTGTGTGTGTGCAAGTGAGGGAGATGAGAGAGAAAGAGAGAGACAGTAAGCGAGAGGAAGAGAGAGAGAGAGAGAGAGAGAGAAAGAGAAAGAGAAAGGGGAGGGGGTGTCCTGAGAAATAGATGACGAAAAACAAGGGGAGAAAATAGTCATTTTGCACGTGCAAAAATCAGAGCATTCGATTAGGGGTTGTCAAGATTTGCGGCACGCTAAGCTCAATCGGCCCCTGAGGGTTGGGGCAAGGAGTGCGGCCACGCACCGGCTCGTGAACACTTATTCAGCTCAGGCCCGGGCGAAACCCCTCCCGCGTGCACGTGCGCGCAAGGCTTCTCTCTTGCCCCCTTTTCCAACTCTTTCTCAAACGTTTTTATCTCCGTCACCTTCTACACAAGAGCATCTATCAGGTCAAGGCGATGACGTTCGTAATCATTCTTTCGTATTATTTCGCTGGTTTTAGCTGGACTACCGGGCGTGAATAAAAAAATCGCGACCGCACGGCATAGTCATCCGTGGAAATGCGAGTCATTGTTCGGCCGTCGAAGGTTGGATTCTTCCACCCTCGGGCGGTCTCACGCCGCGCTCGCGTACGCGTGCGTGCCATCGCCTCGCGTCACTCACTCGTGAACTCCAAACAGAAGAAACCCGAACTCACCAATGGCCGAAGAACGAACCACTCACGGAAGAGTAAGCCTTTTCTTGTTGCTATGACAACTCCTCATAGCCGGGAGACGACCATACTCCTGCCCTTGTTCCATAAAGACTGAATATAGGGTTGCCGAGGTTATCATTAAAATCATTACCAATTAATTGTATATTGGAAATGTAATCTTCTTTTCTATACTTTTGTTTGTATCAGTGAGCAAAGACACGACATAATTTTGCTCAGAAAATTTCACTTTGCACCCTATACTTGGAGTTGGAAGTGATGACGTCACCCAAAAACATTCAGCAATTTCTTTGGATTTCATACCAGTTAAGGAAATGCTCGCGCTTTCATTATTTTAAAGCTATATTGAATGAAGAAGTTAAACTCTAGACTATTTCAATAAACTTCTCCATCACACTTTGGATGTGCGAGCATTATCTTTACACGTAACGTTCTTCGAACATGATTTTATAGAGGAAATAAACATTAGGGTATTGAATTTGCCCCTGAGTTGATTTTTGATCATGATATACAAAACTATATATATATAAGCAAAACATGTGCTAATCATACAGTTCTGCTTAAACTCTAGCTTCTCAAAATGTAGCCCTGTTTTCTCCAAGAAAATAAGTTTAAAACACAAAATTTCTTTGAAAATTGATTATTATTTTGTGGATAAACAAGAATTGATGTAAATTAATTGATGGGCCTTTTCCAGTCCAGCAGTCTAATGGCGAAAATGAATGCATAAAATGTATTGCTTATCCGAAAAGTCTTGAAAGTATGGTAAAGTTTTATTTGATTTCGTGGTGCTTTGTTTCTTGAGTTGGCCTATCTGCATAGATTTTTGTTCAGGCTTCTCTGTATATGTTTTTTTTCTTTAGGGGGGGGGGGTAAGGTCATGAAATAGAAACATTTACTTTTCGTTTGGAGCAAGTATGAATATTATGGCAACTGTTTAGTATTGGCCCCACTTGATTTTGTTTAGGATATGTCTTATGTATTTCTGTTTGTGTATCATCTTTTTCTCTCTTCCTCTCTCTCCCCATCCGTCCCCCCCCCCTCTCTCTCTCTCTCTCTCTCTCTCTCTCTCTCTCATTCTCTTCCCTTTTTCCCCTCTCTATCTCCCTCCTCCCCTCTTTCTCTCTTTTTCGCATTCCCTGTCTTCTAGCACTTTTCTCGTATCTACTGTATACAATTTAAATACAATTACATTGTCTCTCATCATCTCTCTCTCTCTCTCTCTCTCTCTCTCTCTCTCTCTCTCTCTCTCTTTCTCACTCTCTGTATCTATATCTCTCTCTCTCTTTATCTGTATCTGCTATGTTCCCCTTTATATCCCCCTCTCTATCTCTCTCTCTCTCTCTCTCTCTCTCTCTATTTCACTCTCTCCTACATTTTTCTATGCTCTCTCTGCCCCTCTGACATACTGTATATAATATTTATCTATTAGGTATGCATTCCGGCTTTGTCCCTTTGAGATTTTAAGTGTACAAGTTATTTTCATTTAATATAACGAATGACGCTTGTAAAATGATTACTTGCTGTGTAGTAACATATCAGTAGGGCGGTATAGGTAGGTATATAAGTATGTATGGAAAACTACGTATTTAAAATGGCATTATGATTATGTTAGATATGCCATTATCAAACTTAATTAATGAAATCCTAGCATATTCCAAATACCAAAAGGAAGAAATTTTGTTTTTATAAATCAAAAACTGATCCTTTATTTTCATTGCCTTTTATACATGCGCAAATTACAAACATGATTCTTTATTATGTCGATGACTCTGTAAAAACGTATACATAAACAAAACATAACTTCAGTAAAACATCATCTATTTCTTAAAACTTTGTATTGCGCGTTATATTCTACATTAAGTACATCGTACTAACATCAACAAAATTCTCATAATATAATACACTCAGTAAAACATATAATTATTGTCAAATTCTTATAAATCGAACTGGCAACAAAAGGACACACAAACTATGTCTTATTGGCAAATTCCTCTGACAATTCGTGATCAATTTCGTTTTCATGAGTAATATATTAGCAGAAAACGAAGAGGACAATGCAAAAATAATGACATAATAGCATTTAAAATGATGGGTAATGCTATGTCAATTTCAAACTATATAGAATATTATGTTTCTTGTACAGAAACGAGCCAGAGATCAGTGGAAATAATAAAAAGAAATCTGGTATTGCAACCTCTCAACTAAAAGATGGCAAGCATCAAATAAGATCGGAATGAAAATAAATAAAACAAAACCTCTATTTCCATGGAATATTTGCAATGGTAACACATTGGAATGTTCGGAAACATCATGGTATAGTATTTCAACAAAAAATATATATATTAATGTTTGCAATTCTTGTTATTGCACTTCATAGAAAAAAAATTGCAGAAAAGAAAAACAAAATTAATAAGATAACATAAACATATTTATCGTAATTTTGGCCTCGTATTCCTGTCTTAATATATAACACATTAAAGGCAGTTATAATTGTTTTTTTTCTATTCCTGTTAATCGTCGTATTAGATCACTTTCATTGTAGGATCCATCATGGTTTCATTACTCACAGAAGAAGTATGACAAATCGACGGAATGTCTGCTTTTTCTCACATTCTGTACTGTCTTTCCATTTGTAGGTAATTTTCTTCTTCAAAATGGCATAGCATGCATAAAATGTTCAAATTATAACATTGAACGTCAAGTGTTTTATGTAGGTGATGTATACGATGAAATCCTCAATAAAAATTGTGACTAAATTTGTGACCAACTGCATAGCCTACGACTGACCCGTAAAAATAAATAGAAAAACGCTGGATGAAATAGCATGGCTGAGACTTGATCAGGTATGACGTAATAAACCGCGGATGTCTTTCTTTGTATGTTGACATAAGTGTTTTAATCACGTTCATGTGTCTTCTGACTCAGAATGTGTGCACGTAAAAAGATGATAATAACAATAACAAATAACATTGTCAACATCCATATTGCGGCGGTTTATCGCGACATATTTGAACAAGCCGTTAGGTGTTACAAAGTAACAACACACCAATCGTCATCAAAGTCGTATCTCTTGAGATATGTCTCTGTTTTAAGAACATTTACATTCCAGCGTCTATCTTATTATTTCGTTTGCAGTCAGGCTATGTCACACAATGTAAATGCTCCATTGTCATTATACAATAAGAATATTATTATTATTATTATTATTTTAGTGTTAGAATTATACTTATGTTATTATTATCATTATTGGCGACTAATGTACCTTTAGAGGGTTTAATCATTTGCCACATGAGAACAAAATTTCCCGACCGTCACCAAGCCAATTGCCACGATCGTGCAAGGTAACTGTAATGTTTGAATGAAATACTATGATAATACTACATATGTTTATTACAATATAAGGGACAAGTATTTCATACACATTTTAATTCCGCAGAAATTGAATGTAATTTGTAGAATGTTTTGTTTATGTTCACAACCAACCCATAGCAACACAAAAACCAAGAGAAATACAGCATTTTTTCTTCTATACCCGTACCAAAGAAATACGAACAAGTTATTGAGAAATAGATCTACAAAGTACTGAAATTGCACTACCTCTCGGGTCAAATAAATGAAAGTATAATGTTTACTCCCCGTTTGATTAAACAATACATCAATTGGAGGATAATGGTATATTGTTGTACCCTTACTAAATACGTAACCCGTTTCATTGTGATTAACAGGTATACATCGTTTGGGAGTTTAAGTCAAAAAGGTTTCATGAAGATAGGACAGGTTACATTGACAAATTCGGTTTGGCATTTAATCTTCGGAAATGATTCCATAATAAGTGAAAATAGTTGTTTCTTTTAAGAACGGTAGCATAAATTAAAAGATATCATTAAGGTATGTCTGTGTTTATCCTGAAAATACAATATAGAGTAATCTTACTTAATACATATAAACATTGTGATATTTTGAGATATCCCTTTCTTTTCATATATTAAAAGAAGTGAGGAAAAAGTAACGAAAGACATTTCAAAACAGTCATATAATTATTTATGTATAGGTTTTCATGCAGCTAAAAACTAATTCAATGGGTAGGCTAAAACTAGTCATACTCCAAATGAGTATTTTACAAAACAATATTATTAATAGTATATGCAACATTTCAATTCATTGGTGTATAAATCTTTTATAGAGAAGACTGCCCTCTCTAGATGACCCATTACAAAGAGGTCAATACTTCGCAGTAAGAAAAAAATACTCGTTGATGACGATCCACGTCGAAAAGTTTATCATTATATTTATATAAAATGTTTATCGACTGCATTCAAGGCTAAATACTATGGCATTATTTGCAGTCCTCTCTGGTTTCTTTGTACAGTCTCTTGCGGTCTCCACGATGGGAGACGCCCTCTGCGGCGGTCCATTGCGGCTCATTTCCACGTTCGAACTTATCACGTGTCCCGAACAAGAAAAGCGGCATCCGCCTTCTATAGTCAGCTTTACGCGTCTATCACGATCTCTAGACGATCAGTTTGTATAGGTATATTTATTTTTTAATCTGACTGTGCAACATTTTCTTCTTCATACAATACAAAAAAGTGATGGCACTTCATAAAGAGTCTGTTATAGAGTCCGGCAATTGCAACGGGTAAAGGGCACTTGGTGTTATCCATAGTATGTGCCTATGTGCGAGGACATGTGACCCGGGTGAGGATGTGTCACGTGACCGCTGGGGTAGATATTGGCGCCTGTTGGAGATGACCAGTATGAACTGTGAGAGCTAAAGAGGCTGGCATTGGTGGACGGGTTGATCGGGGTACCCACAAAGTTCAGCTTGGTCGGGTGGTGATAGCTCTGCAGGTACGAGAGGTCTGACTGGTAGCGGTACATGCTAGGATCAGCTTGGACCGGCTGCATGGCTTGGGCTAACCCGGCGAAGTCGAACTTGTACGCGTATCTCTTGCCATGAACCTTGGTCATGATGTTCTTGTCGTAGTAGTAGCGCAGAGCCCGGCTGAGCTTGTCGTAGTTCATGTTGGGTTTGCTTTTCCGCTCTCCCCATCTCCTGGCGACTTCATCCGGGTCGGTCATCTTGAACTCGCCATTGGTTCCCTCCCAAGTGATGCAGTTGGCGTTGGAACTGTCCGATAGGAGCTCCAGAAGGAACTGCCACAGTTGTATCTGGCCACTTCCTGCAAAAACGAACAACAAAAAAAGTGTTTAAAGTGCTGAATCGGAAGAGAATTTTGACCTATGTAATGATAATGATAATGTAAGCACTTTGGTTGGTAACGTTCTATTTAACGAAGCGCTTTAAAAACGGTTAACAAGACAACACAGACTTTTAAAATTAAATCCCTGGCAATTTCAATACCCTATTTTATATCCCATATAAAACGTGTTCCGTTTACGTAATACATCATTGTAAGGTTCACACTTCAATAGAGTAGAGGGGATTGGGCAAGGGTACTGGGATGCCCTTGGGTTTATATCTCGCATATTTATATGATCGTCATATTTATTAGTATTATTCTTAAAAACGAAAATCGTCTATTCAAATGCCCTCTCACACTCGAATAAAGGTAATGACAATGAAACAGAAATAGTAAAAATGGTAAAATGCAAAACAGGCATTGTTTGCTATTCCTATTAAGATATAATTACGATTAAATGCAGTTTAGGTGATCTCCAACAAAAAGCATTAAATATCTGGATTGTAGCTACTACTAAAGTAATGAATCCATCAATTCTTGTTACGAAATTTCCTTGTTACGAAGTTTCAGGAGCATTAACAGAACGTATAGATACATAGAGCTCTTTCAATCGACGTCCGTAATAGGCTCACCAATTTAATGATAAACATTTCAAGCAAAATGATGATAATTAATTAACAATGCTTTCATACATTTATTAGGCGAATGCGCATCATCCAATATTTTTTTTTTAATCCATTGTTTACATGTACCATTAAATTCCAATGACTTTGTATTACCCCCTAAAAAAAAAATTCTTTTTTAAATCAGTGTTGATTACACCCAGTAAGATTTATAGGTAATATATATTGTAAATATATTACTCTGTAATTGTAAAGTGCAATTTGCGAGGATAAATGCATATGCAAATGCTTATCAAGCCACAACGCAATGTTATTATGCAGCATTGACGAGTTATTTCTCTTATAACAATAAACAGCATACCTTGCGAGTGTAATAAAAACAAATATTGCAAGATAAAAAAAAAAAATCAATCAAGGTTTTATAATAGTCATGAAATATTCATAAAATAACTAATAAAAATGAAACAAATAAACGCGAGGAGAATTCCCCTCAAACATATTAAAGCATCTTCGTGACCTAAGGATCAAAGAGCAAGCAGTTTTCTTGACTTTACATCTCTTTTTCAATGAAAAGGCTTATCAAATTATACATTAACAAAATCTACCGGTCGAAAGTGGCATTTATGCGATAAAAATAATTTGCCAATGGAGACGGGTTTGTTTTCTTGCGTGTTTTGTTCGGATTTCAATAAAAATTGGCTTTGCAAGAGCGTCAAACTGTTTCTCCTTCAGACGCGATGCCGATAAAGAGGTTACTTAAACAACAAAAAGTTTATTTTTATATTTAAGAGACGATATTTGAAATTGAATATCTCATTTGACCTCAGTTATTTCGGAGACGCATATGAGCAGAATATCATTTCTTTGATTAATTGTGATAGAGAATTTTCGCGTTGACGATCACACTTTTGTTTGATTTTATAAATCCCTGTAAATAGAAGGACAAACTATATTTCTTGCACAAACGCTGCCTACTCGCTTTGCATCACCTTCCCTAAAAGAATCTCATCGTATCTTAAGTCTGGATGACACTCTCTTCTTTTCATCTTCGTTTATTGAAAAAAATACTCTCGCGATGTGGGAGAAATATGTTTGGATGTTTTGTCGAAGCTCTCGTCGTCATTGTTCAGCTTAGATATACCCTACAGCCGTGGCACTTCTGAAGTGCGAAGCCTTGAATGCTCAGGCAAGCGGACACCGGGGTTCAGACGAAGGAAAGAAAAGAAAGATTCGCTGCCGACTAGGGAAATATCAACGCCTTTTTTCTATCTAACCGTGATTTATTAGCAATATTTATCAAAGGAGTGGAAATTTTTTTCATGAATTTTAACATTTCCTTGCCGTCTTAAGCGTCATCAAGAAGATGACCCTTTGTGATGATACGATATGTTTCAAGATTAAAGGGAAGCATTTTCTGTGATAACTTGGGCATTTATCCTTATTTCCATGTTGTTGTTGCATTTTATTCTTGTCACACACTCGTCAAGGTTACTGGCGTTATTACTGATTTTGATTTTGATTTTGATTTTGATTACTGATTTTGTTACTGATTTCATATATATATATATATATATATATATATATATATATATATATATATATATATATAGTATACGAGCACAATTCAAGATATTACTAGCTCGATCTATAGTCCGTAATACATCCACACAAAAATTAGTATAGTCTCGATTATTTCATTGTGAGAGGGAGACAGAGAGAGAGAGAGAAAGAGAGACAGAGACAGAAAGAGAGACAGAAAGAGGGAGAGAGAGAGAGAGAGAGAGAGCGGGTGAGTGAAAGAAGTCAAAGTATATAAAATATTGACTCTTCCCTAATGAGGATATTTATGTGTCTGAGAAACACATCGGCAATTGTATGCAACACTCCAGTGAATTTTTATCATTTTAGTTGTAGTAGATGTGATATTGAGAGTGACAAACCCTGTTTCATCTTTTGGAATTTCAGATTTATGATCCTTCGGAGAACAAACGAGCCTTCGGATTTTAAATACGAACCTTCGGAAAAACGACATGTTAACCTGGGTTAAAAGGTTTAAAGGGCCAGCGCCACGACGTCGCTCGGTAGAGCTGTACACCGAGGCGAACTTCGGGATGCAACGAGCCGAGTGTGCTTCTGTTTGATCAAGCATACACGGTAATGTCGAAGACTTTAGAGGGTGCAATTGAGGACTAGAAGACAGCCAATTGTAAATATCCGTCCGCTGGAAACCTTTTCAGTTTGCCTGACTCCATAAGTCAATAAAATCGAACGCGTGTCTTCGGGAGGCAATGCCTCCACGAGCGTGTTGGCAATAATGATCGCGATTGGGTCTGGAGCTAAAAGGGCGTTCACACGGTTTAACATGATACGAGTTAGGGCCCCTCTGGCTCCAAAGAGATGAAATCTTTCCTTTGTGTCATCGAACCGCATCGAATTCACTCCGTTTATATTCGGACAGAAAATATACATGATAACTTGCCGGGTTGAATCATGATGTATTATCTTGCAGACATGAATGGAAGGCTACTAGATTAAACGTAATGCCAAAAAATGAGCATTGTAAATGTCACTTGATCTTCATTTTATATAAGCATTTTTTCGTGTTTTGATGTAGATATGGTAATGAATTTATTTGAATTGAATCGAAATTGAAAAAACGAAGAAGTGAAGAGTGTTCGTATGCACACATGCATGTACAAGTACAAGTACAAAGGAATGATTACAGAAGAAAGCACACCATGTCAAATACACTACAAGGGTTATAAATATAGCGCACATTGGTATCAGAATTATCAAATAATACCATTTTGTAAAGACAGATATGATAGAATGAGATATGGTTCTTTCTGCAGGTTCATTTATGTATTTGATTCTGTTTTAATTAATTCATTAATTTATTCATCTATCTATTATTCGTGTATTTATTTATTTATAAATTTATTTGATTATTTATCTATTAATTCCTTTATTTAGAAATTTAATTCTACCACATACACAACATTAATAAGCTGATTAAAATAATTAACAAGCGCTTATCATAATGTAAGGTTTGTTCGTTAGAGAAATGTAAATATATGCTCAATATCGCACAATTATAATCATACAAGTGATTTCAATTAAACATATTGAAGTCCAACATCCTTCAATTGCATGCTCTTGACTACCTAACCAATTATGGTATAATATAGATAGGTTTGATTTAGAATCCGAACGGTTTCCCTTCCTGTTAAACGAAATCTTAACATGCCTAACATTTCAATGAATTGATTTTACAAAAAGTAGCAGTTCCTATGACTTTCATAAAACAATATTCATGTTATATGAAATTCATTTAAAAACGAATTTGAAGTGGGCAGATCTTGAGATAGATGATGCGCATATTTATTAATATTAATTAAATAAAACGTTACTACTTTTGTACTGACAATGTAACGTGGGCAATAACTGATTTCTGTTTTAAAACAAATAATTTTCATAAACACAGTGGTTTGAATTGCAAGCTTGTATAAGATAACATTTTTGAAGTGAAATTGCAGTGCGCTGATTCGATTTATCCTGATTTAGTGGACATTGTTGTTTTATTATAAAACCGAAATCAGTCAAAGAAAAAAGTCAATTAATCACAATGTAATGTAATTTTTCATCATCTTTTTGTTTTCGCTTTTAAGACGGCTGAAGTGAATAAATGGTAGCTTTATGTAGAATGTTTTGGCAAGGAAAGTCTTCAGTCCCTTGTACGCTGATTGGCGTGAGTACAAATCTGGCATGAATCTACTTGACAGATAGTCGATATGGACGGTTAAGAAGACAAACTAAGCGAGTCCAGGCCAGCCGGCTTTTGGTTTGTTCAGGACGGGCAATAAAAGCTAATACTCATTAAGAACAAAATTGACGCCTCCGCCTCTTGCCTGCCCCCTCCCCAACCCTCTTTGGTATCCTCTGGACGTATTGCATCGGTCATCATCACTATCCCACTACTTGTCGTTTTGTTGTTGTTGGTATGTTAGGCAATGTGTCGTCTTATCCCGATTTTGGTGGTTGTATTTTCTTTTGATTCTATTCTATTATCGCACGTCCTTTATCTGTTAAAACTAATAATTTTGTAATTCTTTTTTTGTAATAAAATATATGATTCAATATCATTGATGTGTTTGATTTTCATGTGTTATTAGGAGAAACAGAAGGATGTTTATTGAATCGAATTGAATTAGACTTCCTTCTTAGACCGTTAAATTCATCTTTTTCCCCTTTCAATTTACTCCTTCTAATTAGTTCTATTCCCCGTTCCTTTGAGCAATGTCATTTATTATTTTTCTCTGAATGCTTTGGATTTTATTAGATAACACAAGCCAAAACACGAAAACTAGAAAGCCCAATCAGGAAAGAATTACAACCCCTAATATCATCGCACCGTCTTTCAATTAGTTTCTATCTCTGATTGCCCGTAATCGTAATTATAACATTTAGTTATTCCGACTTTTGATGAAAAAATATTTATTACTATTGTGTTTAATAATACTTTAATTTTCTTTATGTTCGTCATAATTTTCTCTTCTTATTTTACAGATCATATTCATGACAGTGGGGTGACCTGTTGCTAGTCTCCTCTCGCGTCTCTTCGACACGTTTCAGCTGTCCCCCAATGGCCTATTACAATAGAGATTCAGCTGCACTGATTGGAACGGCTGGGTGTTTGGTCAGTCTTGCCTGACTAAACACGATTAGTATTCAGTGCTTTGCTCTTCACGCCTTTCGCCTTGCTCGGATCCAATTCGGTTGTAAAACGACTATTTTCTTTCCTGTCAGGCTTGTTAATCATTTATTTTATCCTGGTCCACTTGTTTAGTTATGATCAATTATACGTACAACTCGGGCCCTGTTTCATAACACTTTTTAATCAACAATAAAGGCTAACATTCTATCACAAATTGGCTCTCAGCCAATCAAATGTAATGATTTCAGTAGCTTATAACAGGTTTGTACAACTCCCTATTGAAAACAAGTTTTGTGAAACAGGGCCCTGGTTAGCATAGAGTTAAAGGATGCAAATAGCGAAGAGAATGTGGCCGACAGAAATGTGAATTATATCAATTCTGAAATGGTTGGCATTTCCTGATTATTACGTTTAATTTAATTATTTTTGCAAACGTGTCTGTGATCTCACATATGGATACTGATTCAAATGCAAAATGGTTATTCTATGGATATTACAAAACACAATGGTGTTACGCAGTGAGAGAAAATACATTTTTATGGAAAATTCTTTGTTACGACAGTTTTGTTTTATTTCTGCGCTGTAAAGTGACGAACTGGCATTCTAACAATAATTTCTTAAATGAAAATATAAGGCTACCGAGAAATTCTGCGAATGTCTACCATGATAGAAAGGAACATTTTAACAGAGTTTGTATCTGATTATTTTTCTAGTAAGTTTACCTTGTTTAAATACTTTAAATCTTCATCCCATTTGTATCTCACCGCTGCAGTTAATAATGTAGAATTGGTGTCGTTATTTTGACTATTTTTAAGTCATTCTCGAAAAAGATCATAAAGATATGCCAATACTTTTGTTTATTTCGTTTGCTGCCATGCTTTTAATCTTCCCCGTCTCGTACTTTATGCACAAGAACATAATATAAAAGGATAAGTAATTTTTCTTCTTTCCCTATTATTCGTTTATGGATATTTGATGCTGATTTGTGGCGAAACGGCGTGAACTATTCCAACAACGATGACGTCACCTCACGGTGGATTGTTACGTCACAAAGCTGTTTACACGTGCGAATGAGATCGCGCGCCAAAACTAACAGGAAAGAGAAAAGGGAAGTATAGCTGCCGTCTGCTCCTTGTGAGGTAACATCAAAACCGCGGTGAGAGAGAGTCGAAAACAATCTTACTTCAGCGCGAAGCTCGAATGATCCATGCTTGAATCTGACCCGCTTCGTATAATTAGAAAGCTATAAGAGATAATATGGAGTCGTCTTTAAAGTGAGCAAAATGGCCGCAAGGTATCGCAAACTGCAAATCTGCGTCTCGTTTCGCCGGGACGACAAACTCCAAATTTAAGAGGGTGCTTCAGGTCCTCTCTCTCGCGGAACAGAATCGGGCACTTCATCTCCCAACCCCTACATACTGCTTTCTAAGTTTCATATCCTATACATCTCACCCAAAGTGATTTCTCTCTTCTTTCCCCTGGCCCTTTTTTCCCTTCTTCTTACACCCCCTTCTTGTCGGGAGTCCCTATATCCTCTTCCCTCTCGCGCCCATGTTTTCTGATATCCCGAGAAGTCGCGCGAATTGTCTTCTTCATTTTCTGGAGATAGGCTTGTGTTGCCTGCCCGCGGGCTACGGCGCAATGCTGGCGATGAAGAAGCACATGCTTGCGGGTCGCTGGCACATCTCGGACGCGTCACGCGCCGGTGCCATAAGTAGCTGAATGATCCACGGAGTGGTAACTTGAGACTCACGGGGAACTTGCCCGACGATGATTGTGAGACGCGGCGACGCCGGATCGCCCGCCACGCTCTCGGGAAATTGAAGGGGTGAAAAGTCGAGATGGCAAGAAAGACCGCGACAGGAAAAGCATCCGATAGAAGGCTTTATATTCTGATTGCTATTTCTTGAGACTTTTTACGAAATGATGAGCCAAATGCATTTCACGGAGAGTGTTTTAGCTCAATCAACTAAATGGTGGTGTAAAATGACTGCTGAAATTCATTGTAATGGGCTGATTAAAGTTGACGCTCCTTCCCAAATAAACAAAAAAACAGACAGAAATGTCAAAAGATTAGTATTTAGATCCCCACATTTATATAAAAGTGATCGCCTTCAGCATAGTTTACTGACGGAATGCGAAGGCCAATTTTAGAATATTTCAAAGCTTTTTTTGTTGTTTCACATGCCTCCAGAAAAAAACCGAACCTCTTTAAGTGTAGAACAAACATAAATGGAGACGAAAGGTTTGATTTTTCGCAGACTTTCGATTCCTGTTTTAACTTCATTTATTACAGACGTTAAAACTCCAAACTTATTTGGCATAATCCTTGTTTATTTCTATGAATACTATCTATATTATCTTTTTCTACAAGTTGTTGGTGCTTTTCTTTTTTTTACTGCCAATTGTTTGTTTCACGTTTTGTTGAACTTCTCTTTGGGAAAAGTCTTTTATCTATTTACTTGTATATATTTATTTATTATTATTTCATTATCTATTTTTATCTATTATAGTGAAACAACAAAAAGAGCGTACCGAGAGAGAGAGAGACGCGAAGGAAGTAAGAAAGGCACCGAGGATTGCAAGGAAATTAATTCCTGGGTAAGTATGTATACGCAAATACCATCGAAACAAGGCAACTGCAAACATGCACATACCATTACAAAAAAATTCGATCAGGCGACAATAAAATGCACGATTTAATTCACTTAGAATAATTCCTTGCAATTAAACATAAGAATGGTATTTATCATTACAGAAGATCCATGCAAACTCATTCCGAATTCCATATCCATTTCTTTTACATAAATCATACCAAGACAGTTTTAAATTAAAGTCAGTTTTCTAAAATGCTTTGTTTCAATACTGAACTCATTAGCAAGCATATTTAATAGCAAGACCGATGCATTATGTACACTGTTGCTCATTAAGTTGGAATAATTTTTCGAAATAACCATTTTCATAAAATGATTGTGACAACAAGATTTATTCTTGATATAGTTTATATCTTTTAAGAACTTTAATTGATAAATCGTTGTTAAAGAATACTTATTGATCAATAAAGTACACAGAATATTAAAAAATACAAAATATAGTAGAGTCACAATCATTTCATGAAAAGAAGTAGAAACATTTACTCCAACTGTTTTTGCAGTAGTGAAATTCAATAATTTAAATAAATTTCTCGTACCTTTGTTATGTCTGAGTGCTAATATCACGGATTGTAGATTTTGCCAATCACTTGGAATTACTGGCAAAGAAAGAAAAATAATAAAAAGGTACGATAAGTAAAAAGTATTTTCATGATGGTTGCAGTAATTGAATGCCGAAATGCTTAGCTCAAGATTTGAAATGAATGATAAATTAACTCACGGATGGCCAGAAAATAGTACTATTACTTCAATACATTTATAAATACATGTAATGGATGAATGAAATTAAATGAAGATGCATGGTCTTTATTTTAGTTTAGATGTGATACGAACTACATCAATATATCTCTAAAAATTAGTTTACTTTTATCAGATTTTAGTTTTGGGTAAATGACGAATTTTAAGTAAAAAGGGTTAATATGAACACTTAAAATACGCTTGATAATGTAACTGCTATGACACAAGATGACACTTGGAAAAATAAAAGTGTCATGAATATATTGAAGGATTCTCTCTTCAACAAATCTATAAGATATAGTCATCAATTTGCTAATAATTTGAAAGACTATTATTTTGTAAATCATCTAAAAAAATTAACTGAAATGAACGAGAGAAAATAAATGTATTGACACAAAAGATATGATTGTGATACAATTGAGAATGATGATGATTTATTCATGGATGTGTTATAAACATGGCGGAAATTATGAAAAATAAATCAGTAGTATGAATTCAGATGTTAACTAAAGTTGAGATACAATCGGCATGCAATCTCGTGCATGTTCTTAAATAGAGTACACTACTACACTAAAATTCATATACAATTGTGAAAAACGTAAAATATTACTTTTTGATTTGGTGTACATTTAAATAATCATATTCATAATAATAGATTTTATAAATAAGTGACATGCGTCATCAATAATGAATAATCAATTATGTCTGATGGATAATAAGTTTCCTTTCTATTGTCTCAACTTCTCTATTTATAACAGTATAGAAATATAAAAGGATTATTAATATTGCAAATTTAACAAATTGATTCGTTTGAATAAGATGTATAGTAGATGTGTAACTAGACCAACATAAATTAGTAACCTGTTTACTCAAACATCTTTATACAAAATAGCAAAGTCAGATACAATACTGTTTGCATCTTGGTCCTTGTCGCTGTTGCTTTAAACTGGTTGGTAACGTTGCCATTAATATTAACTACCACGGTAACATCCCTCAACAGCCAATCAAATCAAGGTTTCCATGGATGTTACCAGTAATGGCAAAGCTACCATCAGTGGTCAGTTTTATGAAACAGGTCCCTGGTATATAAGAGACCTGAAAACATTGTTTCACATGTTTTTTAAATAAACACACTATCATAAAAGTTTATATTAATCAACTGGAGAGCAATATCGATGCCCTAACATTCTGTTTCCAAAATGTATGTCATATCATTATAATATCCGTACTTTTTAATCATTGACTCAAAATGCCATTGAGATTGCGTAGGGTTGATTTTGAGAATCTTTATGCTTTTGTTTACTGTGATATGATAATAAGATAGACTTACCAGGATTTGCAAGTGTCCTGCTTGTGTGCCCGAAGACTTGGTACGGATCTGTGTTGGGATGAGAGAGAAAAGAATGGTGACGATTGATGACAGAAACCATGATGCGGGTCTTCTATGAGCCAGAGGGGTGGAGTAGAATGGTAGCAAGACAAGATCAGGGGTGCAAACACCAAGCGCTATTAACCCCGGTGTGCAAGAGCCATGGACTATGGCGCCACGTATAATACACGATATGCACGCCAATGCTGGCTTATCATGTACGCCTTGCAAGTGGTATGGATTTGGGCGTGTATTGTTTGTGTGTGTCCCCGGTGTGTATGTATGTTTGCAAGCGCAGGCGCTCAACCACCGCGGTGCTCTCCAAAGTTAAATGTCACTGTTTGATGTTGGTGATTTCTTTTTTAAGGGCCTTGCCCTTTGATCATTGGCGCTTTGATTATGAGTATTAATCACAATTTGAGACGTGGATGCTGCGATAATAATGTCGTTATTGAGTGAATTGATGCCAGCAAGGAATATGCATGCTTAACATCAACCTAACATTAAAAACAAAAAACTCTCTTCAAACCACGCGGTGCGCAAAGGAAGTAAAGGTGTTCTTTGTTCCCAAAAATGCTGTAAGCAGAAACTGCATTGACATGAATATGAAAATGACGTATCTATGTTTCACGACGTACATGTTACTACAAGGCGTTAACTTTTGTTTGTCAATATTTTAAGTGCTAATTTTTTTCTCCTGCTAAGCCAACAATTCGATTTTTTCAACTTCCCTTTTTTCAGTTTCTCTATTTCTCTACTTGCAGTAGAAAATTTCCGCCACAACTTGAACTATTATAATCTGTATAGAGGGAGAGAGAGAGAGAGAGAGAAGAGAGAAAAGGGAGTTGTAATATTTCTTCCCCAAATGTCTATACTGATAATAACAGAATTTCTATTGAGGTGTCGAACAGAGCCGATCTGATTTATTCTGTAACCTCTTCATTTACTATCGCATTGATTTTGTCCATGTTTCCCCAAAACAGGGAAAAAGGGGGTATTTTCCGAAGCCTCCGCCGGTGTGTTTTCTTTCCGAAATGGTTGAATAGGGGAGCCGTGAATGGTGGGATTTGATTGGCTCGTGCCGGCTGGCTTATCGAGGTGACTAAGCTCTAGTTCCCTAATAAAATCCGACGGGGGCTAATTACTCCACAAGCGTGGCGGAGGGACAATTTAGAGCTTCACAATGGACGGTGATCATCGACAAGAAAAAAAAAGAAGAAAAAAAGAAAAGAGCGAGAGTTCAGGAAGGAATTTATGTTAGAGATTGAGATCATGCATCCATTCTTCTCCTCTCCCTCCATTTTATTTCTCTCTCTCTCTCTCTTTCTTCCCCTCTCTCTTTCTCCCTGTCACTCTTTCTTTTTCGATCCGTGTTATTACTCCCATAATTATATACTGTATACATAAAAATATATACTTCCATTCATTATAATTTGTGTCTTTCCCTTGGTTTTGGTATATGTTCCTGTTTCTCTCTCTCTCCCTCTCTCTCTCGCCTTATGCGCCTCTTCACCACTCTTCCAATGTACTTTTTGCAAATTTGTTCTGACTCTTTGTTTTAATCTATCTTATTCTTTATATCTGCTTTCCTCTGTGCCTGTCTGTCTTACTCTCTATCTCTCTTTATATCCCCCCCCCCCCTCCGTATCTCTCATGTACTCTCTCTCTCTCCCATTTCTCTCTTCGTCATTCGTCCGTTCTTTTAACCCCCTCTATCTATCTCTCCTTCGCGTGCCCTTTCTTTCTTTAACCCGCTGTCTACCTCCCTTAATCGCATGGACAAACGCGAGAGATAATGCTCGCTGACAACGGAAAAAAGATTTAGTTATCGATCGCGAAACCAGGAAAGCGCTTTATAACAGCAACGAATCCACATAGCACTGGAATACCCCTGTTGTGATATTTCCCCTCTATCCCTTTCCCCCTTCTTCCATCTCTTTCTCGCTCGCTGCATCGTCGAGTATAGCTGGAAGGGGATGAGAAGGAGAGGCGGATGAAAGAAAAACTGAATATGATCACAGGACCTGATGGCTACGAATCCGTCAATAGACCCCTTGTGCTTGTTTTTTGGTTCATTTCCCGAGCAGGTGGTTTGGTGAATAGAGAAAACGTCGGGCTGGGATGGCAGGGGAGAAAAGATAATAACAACGACCCGGCATTCCGACAATGCGATCGCATATATCCGCTAGTGTACACCGATAGCGAGCTATAATCAACTTGGCTAGGCCATGTCCAAGCCTTCCAGACAAAAATACATCAGCCCATCTCTTACCAACCTTTTCCTGTAACCACTCTCAAACTCAAAGACATTTCATAAATTTTCCTATCTCCCTTCAAAATGTCTGTAAAACAAAATTCCATTGCTTCACCAGTGTACGATTTATGTGATTTACGTCAGAATGGATGATACACGTTACGTTTAATTCTAGTTAAAGAAAAGTTAAAGAAAAAATAATGTTTTTGCAACAACAGAACAAATACAACGTTGAAACAGTTCTAAACAAGTGAATGTTATAAACATATATATATATATATATATATATACATGACATTCTCTGTCGATACTATAAACCTTTATATGACATTGAATGTCTCGATTCACTGTCGATATATGTATATTTCCAAATTTGAATGATATATATATATATATATATGACATGATCGGAACTACTTTCAACAAATCAACTCGAGGATAATTTGAATACATATTGTATGTCTTATAAAAATCAAGTTGACGTACAAGGCCACTGAAATTACCTTTCGAAAGTATTTTTTTTTATATTGCTTTATATAGATGTGTGTGTGCTTATTTATTTTGTTGCTGTTATCTGTGCAATGGGAAGTCCAAAACAGTCCAAAACAGTCCAAAAATAGTGTTTAACACAAAAAAACGTGAACTCATACATAATTTAAATGTGGTTATTTAATGCATTATTTAGTACTTATTGCCACCATGGCAAACAGAGATATTTTCGAACCATTATACACTAGATAAATCCTCGGCAGCGGGAACACCCCCTTTTAATCTACCATGTTAAGCATTTTAAATGCATGACAGTCGAGACAATGGCACTACCAGAACCACCTGCATGTACTAACAGCGCTTACAACGAGACGGTTGACTTTAATTAAAGCGCGTTTCCGAGTGATTAAAAGGCTACTTATCTCCTCTCTCTCTTTTTTCTCTTTCTCCCTCTGTCTCTGTCTCTCTCTCTCTCTCTCTCTCTCTCTCTCTCTCTCTCTTTCAATATCGTTCTATCTTTCTTTCGCTAGTAATCTCTGTTTCTCTCTCTCATTCTTTCTCACTCTATCTTTCTCTCACTTTCTCTCTCTCTCTCTCTCTCTTTCTCCCTTTGGCCACGCGAACCGGACAGGTCAGTTCGTGATCACATGCTCATGAGAGTATTAAATTGGCAACGCTTTGTCTTTGATTAACCGCCATCATTAGCCGTGATCACCATCAAAGCAAAACACGTCACAAATAAAGACGTTGTGCATTGTGCAAAGCTTTAGCATTGATATGATATGGGTGCATGTGAAGTTATCTAGCCGGGTTTCACAAACGCACCTTATGTTTCAGTAAAAGTCTGTTTTCTTCTTGATTGAAATTAATCTGACTCGCCTTCTTGAAATGAAGTGATCTATTTTTTCTAAAGGTCATGCTGGACATTTCCAATACATTTTATGTTTTTAGGTTTCTCTATTTTCATGATTTTCAGTCCTGGCATCGACACCAAAAACAGAATGATTCTTTCCCAGTATTATTATTAGCTGTAATGGCCCTAGAATGCGGGCATATAAGTATTAACTCCGCCTGTGCTATAAATTATTCCATGTCAGACGTATTGATAGGGTGCATGTATTAAGTGAATGTCTATAGTCCTAGACCAATGCAAGTACCAAATGACACTTAACGAAATAGTGTGTATTCACGACCACGAACAGTTTCCTTTTTCCAAAAAAAAAATCATTCTAGCTTGTGGTAAAATTAATCTAACTGAGATTGTCATGTAAGCCATGGCTGACCGGTTATAAAAAAATGGAAGTTTAAGATAATTGTATACACTTGTGTATCGAGTGCTTTTGTGGCTATTTTGTAGGGCAAATTTTTCCCTTTGTAGTTTGTATTTTGTGTTATTCTCACGTCCCTCATATGTACCTTTATTGTCCTTGTCTTTATTTTGACGGAGAAAATTTGCCTCTGGTATTTTATTTCTTCTAAAGTTCCATACTCCGAAGACACTGGTACCGTTATTGCCCTTGTCGGTATTTGGACGGGGAAAGTTTGCCCTTCTACAGTACCCCACTCTTGGTATTTTCACCATTGGTGCTGTGCACTTTCTAAGTTTAATATGCTTGTATAAAACTTGTGTAAAACTTGCAAAGCGTAAGTGTCAATTTTCTACAAAACGTCCTTCTCGGTCTTACCGAAATCACTGCCCCCATAGGCCGGCCTCCCTGCGGGTCTAATTTGTGTAGCGGAGGAATCGATACCAGGCTTGGGCAAGGTAGGCGATGTTTGTGTAAACCCTGTAAAAAGAGGAGATAAAATAACAGAGGACACCTTTAACTGGAGAGACTGAGGCTGGGGGTACAGGTGAACCATTTCTATCTATATATATCTGTTGGTTTTCCCATTCTTTTTCATTCCTGTGTGACAGGATGTCATTGCAGAAATGCCTCGTGAGAAGGGTTGTTCATGAAATGCCTCCATGTTTTAAAATGTGACTGCAAAAGTCATACACCAAGACCAAATTGTAATGCGACACGTGTGTGTAGTCCCGTGTATCCATATCCATGTGCTTTGATTTTGTTTGTTTTACTGCGTGTCAATGTGTTTTGTCATATATAGCGCTAATGATACCTCAAATTCCCAATACGTAATGCACTGCACAATCATCATTTCCTAACGTTGCAGGCCACATCCTTGGACATGCAATTGACCAGTACTTACCTTTATCTTAACCATTTCTCACGGAAGAATAGTCCAGATTTACAAAGACTCTACATGTATTTAAAGATAAAGTTGAGTTCTGGTCATGCGATTGCATTGTGAAGGAAACGGTGTAGAATCGATCAAAAGAAGTTGATCATGCAGCATATATATTGATCGATGTGTACTGCAAGTACCTTCAAAATGTGTATCATCAAAATTATAAGAAATTTGACCCAGTCTTAACAGTGCATAAGGAAACGTTACATAACAAAATAAGCATGGGAGATACTAGTCTAATTGAAGAAAAAAAACGTCTCAATTTGTAGAAATCTATATCTCAGAATATACACTTTGTATAGACATTTTATTGTAGTAGAAAAAAAAGCACAATATGCAACTTTTTCTGTATGAAATATTATTTCTTCTAAAGTCTTAGTGTTCCCAGTATTAATTATTAATTCCTTCGAAGCAGCCTTCATGTTCAATATTCTCTAGATATTGTCCATAATATTCATGTACAATTTTAATGAAAGAGTAGGCTCAGGTATATTTCAGTTATCATGTTAAAATCGGATAGAATTGGAGAGCGAAAAATCAAACAATAATGCAAATCCAATTAAGGAATCGGACAATCCTTGAAACACGCTCACTGTATACTTTCTGTTAACAAATACGACAAAGGCAATGTGGATAACGTTACAGATTTTCAGCAAATTGTTTATAAAGGACCTTCTTAGCCTTGCATGTGTTCATAAGAGCAAGACAATGACTCATATAGGCGTATTCACTGAGCGTAAAATCTGTTCAATTCTCAAGCGAATACTGTCTAGGAAAATTGAAATGAATCTATGAACCATTTCAATCGTAATACATAAAAGACCTACAGTCCCACTTATAAGCAATTGTGTCAGTGCAACAGTCAAAAGGACGCTACTCTGTATGAGAAGACAACGTAAGCCCTGGGGATACTGCAGGGAGATGTTAACTACGCCACCGTTAAGCGAGGAGGCGAAGTGTAAATACACAGCCTAATAAAGTCAGTGATTTAATCAAGAGGACATTATACTCGTCCGAGGCAGCGGAGTCTCGTCCCTTAGGAATTATAACAGCGAAATGATGAGAGAATTTATGAAAACAGCATGTGTCTGTCAGTGATTTACTGGCTTGTTGGTTTGACGGGCAAGAGATAAAACAGTAATTGCGCTCGGCAGATAAATGAAACTCGACGGAAGCTGTATTATACTCTTGCAATATCTGCCTTCCCTATATTTTTCTTCCTTTATTGATCGCATCTTAGAGGAGAAAATGAAAGTATTCTACAAAAGAGGATGGAGAGTGCCTCTCGCAAGAGGAGGTGTCTCTTTTTTTTCATCGTCGAGGTATTTTATTGAAGGCGTGTAAACTTTCGAACGGTGAAATTCTTGTTCAATCTGTTGATACAAACGTTGACGTAAGAACACCCATTACGACATAGAAGTTTTGAATTGAATCACAATTAAATATTTCGACATCTGAAACTACTAGATAATCTGGATGGGTTGATAACAAATGTCATATTTTGATTATATGATATATGATATTTAAATTGTATCTTTATAATCAGGGAAATTATTTGTATGCTGTTGGCGACAGATGCCCTAAAGGTGATGTTTAAAGTGTTTAACAGTGACAATAGCTGGAAGGCATACCAACATAATTAACCAAATTTGTTTAAACATCATTTCGTTTGCACCTTTATTACTTACTAATATTCCCCAAATAGAGTTTAGATGTATATTATAATTAAATTAACCCAATAATTAATACAAAATAGGAGAAGAGCATTTTGAGAACTACTATTGATTTTAAGGGTAAAGCAAATTGTATTTGAACATGTTTAATATTTCCATCTTCCATTATGTCGGCCTATATTTTGTTCCTCATCGTTTTCGATTACATGTTCGTTTTACATCATCGTATCGCGTGTACATAGTTCCCCTTGTTACCATGGTAATTCGAGATCGAGACTGGTTCGGGATAAATGAGCAGAGTCTCTGTTAGTAGAATATTGACATCAATCCACGTGGTTACTAGGGTAGAGATGAGAAGGCCTGATACTGAGATTCTAGTTTGATTACAAAGGTGGATGAACGGAGCGCTTAATCAAAGACACGCACAAATTTGGATGGCTATTTTCTCTACGATTGAACCCCCCCCCCCCTTCCCACCCTACCCAATTTTGAACCATGGAAATAATGTTGCGTTTTTTCTCTCCAGCTTTGAAGCATGCAGAGAAAATAGAATAAGGTATTTCATTTTTGCGGCTTGTGGTTATTCATTGATGAACAAAAATGTTTATGCTTCGATTTTCTCTCTCACTTTCTCTAAGCATTATATATCACTAGTTTACTGCAGGGATTTGCACATACAAGAACAGACATTGCAGGGGAAAAACAGACATTATTTAGGTAGAAATAATGTTGACCTGATAGAAATGCGGACTCAAACAGATCAGACTGCTGACATCAAGAACACTTCAAAGTACATATGGTACCAGAGTAGTCATGTTTTGATTCAGAAAGCATTGCTCATAATCGCGATAGCAATGCAGATAATATTGATTAATTACCCCCTTCCCAAAGACAAAGCACAAATTTATTTGATTAAGACTCGGTTCCTTTTGATTAATCAATCGGTCAATTAAATACCCCCAAAATGGCCATCATGGGCGAGACCTCAAGCAGGCCCTGCAAATTGTTCATTAATTCTCAATATTCATTATGTCTATCCATGGTTTGGTCAAAAATGTGTTCGGCCCGCGTACAGGGGCAACGGCAAGTACAAGCCTGCACTACCACGGCGAAGGCGGGGATCGCTCCATCGGCGCCGGCGCAACTGGTTAGCTTCAATCCCGGGGAGGATTATAAAGCCATTATTCCTTTAATGAAATGCTAGATCCTATAGCATTAACCTTGGCATTCGGGCTTATCTAGCTCGTTAAGGAGCCCAGATATAGCGGATACAATTTAACGTTCCAGGGATCTTCGACTTCACCCCCGAACTAGACACGCATGTATACGGCAGCCTAATTCCACAAAGAAACCCCAAACAGAGCTCATTCTGAACATTGTCATGGATGGCGGAATAAAAGTACACAGACGTGATGGATGTATAGAAAAAGTGCACGAAATTGAGCTCGAAATGTTATTCGATGCCGGCTAGTGATTCCCCTTTTGCCATATGCATGTGAGAGTCCCTTGAGTTGCGTTTAGCTTTTCATTTGCAAGTTTAACAGACCTTTGGCAAAGTCTCGTCAAAGAGAAAATGATAAAGAGAAAATGAGGACACTGTGAATATGAGTTCCTGTTTTCATCGTTATTCATGACTTGCATTGTGTTATTGATAAACGCACACTATACAAAATATCACATAAACTTAAACACATCAAGACATGCTGTCACAAAGATTCTCTCATCTTTTTCTCCCTATTTGTAATGCATTTGGATAAGGATAGGTTTTTTTTCTAAGTGATCTCATAATTTATGATATCAAACCAGTGTTAAATTTTTCTACGGAAGATGTTTTGTTTGAGAAAAAAATTATCATACGACAGAACCGTGTGCAAATTAAAATCTTGTACGAGGATATTCCTCGAAACGTCTATGGGGTCGTTATGGTAGGGAGCGACAGCGTGCCTTTAAGCTTACCAGCAAACCCACACATCTCAATATGTGCAAAAGCTTAAAGGTATCAACATTATCCTCGCATAGAGGATGTTCATTATATCTACTGCCATGAGCACAGAACATAGTCCGTATACAAAACGCACATAGAGATAACCCTTCTGACAAGCGACAGTGTGCCTTTAAAGCTCACCAGCAAAACCCACAAATCTCAATATTGACCAGGTGCTTTTATACGAGCTCGCGCGGGATGAGTGATGTCTCCATTTAAACGCCCGGATGCTGGTGATCGTGATCGGAATATCATTTCAATGCTAATTTGCGCCTCCTGAAAAAGTCGGAATCCCCCGAATATCTGATGTCTTAATTCCCATTCATTGTCAACGGCGGGAGTTCTCTCACGTGGTTTTCCCGTGTGGAGTGATATAGGCAGACGGATTGTGAAGTCAAGAGCCGGCTTTGCACCGCATATAATTTGCTGCCATTGATTTTTGGCGCGCTTTGCCAATTCGTGCTTTTTTTTCTCTTTGATGTCTGAGGATACCATGAGTCGAACGGGGAGTCTCGATATTTCATAGTAGAAGGGAGACCCCCCCCCCCCCCTTATTCCCCACCTAGTTCAACTAAGGTGATATAATGTATTCAATAATTCATACCGTCAAAGTGAGGACACCTAGTTCAACTAAGTTGATATAATGTGTTCAATAATACCGTCAAAGTGAGGACAATGCCCGATTAAAGAATCTCAGTGTTGATTGTTGTGCACGATGACACTTTTTGAAGCTGTTTAGCACAAAGAATAACGTAATAATCATACAGAGGTGATTTTCGTGGGAGTGTTATTATATCCATGAAATAAATATATATTTCCTGATGGGTATTTACGATGTATACCCGTCAAAACACTATGTCCGCCTTCATTAAGAACATAG